TCATCTGGGATACACTGTTGTCATAGAAGTCTACACCAAGGAAGCATTTCTGTTTCACTGATATCTTATACTTGTTCCTTGTCACTATTGTAAGCCACCTAGTTTGAGCAGTTATTAAACAGAAAGGCAAGTTTTCAAAACAAACCCAGAATAACTGATCTCAAAATGGCTGCTGCCTCTCGGTTTCAATATTTTGACACCATTTGCCAAAACGACTTCATTACAAGTACTTTCATTACATGTAATATACAGTGTTTGTAATCAGCAACTCTAGAAGGTGCTAATACACTTGGTCCAATGAAACCCTGACATGAATTTTTTCCACATGCACTCAAGGCCTCAACTGGCCATTCTCAGTGCACAAAATAATGTTTATTATGAGGGGAAGTCAGTAATGACAGGAAGTTTGGCAGTGTGCCAAATTTGGTAGAGCTACTGCAAGAAGTGGTTTTTAAAAAAACAGCTCCTGAATATGTCATTTGTGACCTCATTTAGGGTTATAGTCAGCTCATATATACACTTTCTGCTCTGGATCTTGACTTTCTCAACTATGGCCATTCTTGTAAGTTGTATTGATATATACCTTGCAGTTAAAACAATGAATTTAGAACATCCAGTTTTTAATTCCAGAGCACTTCACAAGGTTACTGGAGTGCTTAACTACCAAGCATAAAACCACTAGCAATGAAAATACAAGGATGGCCCTGGCCTGTAGGAAACACCCTATACTAGGCCACAGTAGTGCATAAGAAGTGTGTTACTTTCACTTCTGAACAGGAATTTAGACTTCTTTCCTAACCAGTCCTTGACATTTAAAATGTTCATAGCGAAAAATGACATCCAGACCATATCCAAAACTTCCTAACATTTTCTCCAGTTTCACTCTATTCCAGGTGGGGCCTGGAGATCTCCGGCTTTTACAAGTGATCTCCAGCTGACAGAGATGGCTGCTTTGAAGGGTGGACTCTATGGCAGTGGTGGCGAACCTATGGCACGGGTGCCAGAGGTGGCACTCAGAGCCCTCTCAGTGGACACGCGTGCCATCGCCCCAGCCAGGCCCAGACCATCATTAAAGTGTCGAATTCTCTGCCAAATAATTTTAAGTAAATGAAAGCATTTGGGATTGCTTTCCTTACTTTGTTTGGATCATCTTGTTAATATATGAGTTGTTTTTTCTAAAGTAAAACCTCAGTATTCAGGCTAAACTGCTGTGTTGGCACTTTGCGATAAATAAGTGGGTTTTGGGTCGCAGTATGGGCACTCGGTCTCTAAATGGTTCACCATCACTGCTCTATGGCACTGTACTATGCTGAAGCCCCTCCCCAAACCCCGCCCTCTCCTGGATCCATCCCCAAAGTCTCCAGGTATTTCCCAACCCAGACTTGGCAACCTTAATTCCAAAACATAAAGGGTGACACTGTACTTAAAGATAGTCTGACATACATTATCTCAAGTAAGCGTCAAATATGTGTGCCATAAACTCACTGTCCATTTGTTCATTATGGAAGTAACTCTTGTTGGAGCAGAGGCTATGTAAGTAACACCTGCACATCAGGGCTTTTCAAACTCCCTTTCTCTTACTTTAGAGCCAAGTGATTTGCAACACTAAGGGCAGGCAGCTATCCAACATTCACAAAGAAGGGCTTCCTGCTCACACATGGTGCTCTTTGGGAAGAAATTACTACTGCCTATAGCTTGTATGCAAGATACTGAGAAAAGAAGCTGTGGTCCAAAATCCACAAGTCTAAATGAATTGATACCTTAAAATATTACTTTGTAATCTCTCCCCCTCCCAATCTTTCTTACATTTTGTCACGACCCTGCCCTACCACCTCTGTGCTACCACCCTCACTCGGGGCTGCCTTAGAGACTCCGGGCTAGGTTTCCTTAATTTGGGTCGTTTCAACCAGCACAGTAGTGATACGAGAGAGATATAGCCTGCTTATAACTCTAATAGTTTGACCGATTCCGAAGGCGTGATGAATGGGCCAGTGACTCAATCCAATTATAAAAATATATATGTTTATTACAAAGACAACACACAGATAAAAACAAACTGGAAAGGGAAAAGAGAAGTGTACAATGCACAAACACAAACAAAGAAAACCTGTCTAAGTTTACTTATCCTGAGCAGATGGCTCACAGCGGCAATACTGAAGAAGCTGGGCTGGTGACAGGGAATAGCCGTCCCTCCTTCTGGAACGTCGCCATTCGTCTTATCCAACGTGGTGCCTGAAAGGGTGCTCGAATTCTCCTGCAAATGTCCCAGCCTCTCACTCCAGCATTTCTTTGAGCAGATGCACATAGTTCCTAGCCTCCAAACTTAGCTTCTGACTCTTGGGTTCTGGCTTTTAGCTGGCTGCTTGCTTCCTACTAAATAATAGCTCAGCTGTCAACCAATTACTAATCTAATTAGTGGTTTACATGTGGTGATCTAGATCTTCGGCTGTCAAGATTTTCCTTAGTCATGCTGAGGTTTGACAGTACCCAGGTGCACCAAGTTGTATCAGCTAATGATTGCTAACAGGTGGTTGATATCAGACTAACCTGCTTTCTTCACATCATTCAGCTAAAACTTACTATCTAGCTAACTAATGCAAATACTTACATGTCTGAGAGGCTTGTTTCTTGACACATTTACATCACTTTATTTATCAATGTTATTTATAGGCTAACTTTCTCATTGATACTCAAAGAGTGGATTATACAATGTCAGTCAGTGTAATCAGCAGAAAGCATCTGATAAACGAAAGTAACAGAACTAAGATTGCAGAAATATGAAACAAAGCATAGGTATTAGACATGATGTTGTCAGTGCCAAAAAAGTGGAATTACATAGGTAGAAAATAATGTAGTGAGAGTAAGATAAATGACAAAAAGATAATATATACTGTACACAGTAATGCAGCCTATAGACCTATTCCTTTTTATTAAAGCACCTTCATGAACCACTGCATTATAATATAGCTCTACTGCCTTTATTAAAATGTCCTCCTGAACAATTCCGACATTCCACAAACTATGTAAAACAGGAGTGCAGGGGCCTTCCTGACCTTCTTAGGCAGCCCATTCCACAAGGTGGGGGCCTCAACGGAAAATGCACTTGTATGAGCAGTTGTTGATCTCACCCATTTGCAGGGCAGTACCCACAGAAGGCCCTCTTCAAATGAGCAAAGCTGTCATGGCAAGGCGAAAGGAGAGGTGGACCTGCAGATATGAGAGCCCAAGGCCACGTAGGGCCTTGTCCTTGACTGCCAGTACTTTGAACTGAGCCCAGTAACTGATGAACAGCCAAAAGAGTGACTGTAGAACGGGTGTGAGATGCATGTTCCACCGAAGATCTGATAGTAGCCAAGCTGCAGTATTTTATATCCATTGGAACCTCTGAGTTGACTTGAAGGACTGATGTATGTAAAGTTAATTACAGTTGTCTAGTCTTGATATTGCTGTGGCATGGATCCAGGTGGCCAGATCGGCCAAGTCAAGGTCGGGGACCCTCTTCTGAGCCAAACAGAGATAGAAGAAACCTTTTTTTTTGTAGCTGTATGAACTTGCTTCTTCAGGAGTAATGTTGGCTCCAGCATAACCCCTAGGGCTCTTTACTGAGTCAGCAAGGGTCAGCTGAACTCCATCAAAAGGAAGTAGAGTGTTCTTCAAAGCCTCAGGCTTCCCAACCAGCATTATCTCCATCTTGTCAGGATTCAGTTTCAATTTGTTCACTCTTAGTCATTTAACTACAGCAGTTAACCAGCAGCTCAAGGCCTCTACCACATCACCAAACTATTTGCACAAAAAGATATAAAGCTGGGTGTCATCAGCATATTGACTGAATCTCGTTCTCAAACTATAAATGATTTCTCCTAAAGCCTTCACATAAAGCAGGCCCTCCCCCCAATGCAGTGCGTGTGAGGGCTATGGTCCCCACTGGTACCTGCAAGTGTTTTAGAAAGTGGGTGGGGCCAGGTGAACTTCTGCCCAGGAAGGCTTCTAATTGCTGTGAAGATTTTTAAAAATTTTCCTTTGGCTGTAGCTGCCACCACAGCACAAGGATCTTCACTATGTCACTGAAGATAAGCTGGCTCAACCTCCTGTGGCTGGCTGTACCTCCTGTGGTAAACATTTTGCAGCCGCACCTACTACACTGTGTCAGAATTCCAAAGGTGCCTGAAGGCTCAAAAAGGTTTGGGACGTCTGACATACAGACTGAATATCATAGGGGATAAGACTGTGTCCTGTGGACATATCCTACATTAGTGACAACTAGTCTGACGGCAACACTTTGAACCTGTTATGTAAGGAACAATTTAAACCAATCCAGAGCACACCCTGAGATTTACTTCTGCCTCCAAACTTCTCTACAAGATAGCATGGTCCACATTATCAAAAGCTGAAGAGAAATTCAGTAAGAGCAGCAAAGAGGCATTAGGAGCCAGTTTGGTGTAGTGGTTAAGTGCGCGGACTCTAATCTGGGAGAACCAGGTTTGATTTCCCACTCCTCCACTTGCACCTGCTGGATGACCATGGGCAAGCCATAGTTCTGGCACAGCTATTCTTGAAAAAGAGCAGTTTCTGTCAGAGCTCTCTCAGCCCCACCTACTTCACAGGGTGTCTATTGTGGGGAGGGGAGGGGAAGGGAAAGGAGTTTGTAAGTCGCTCTGAGACTCATTTGGGTAGTGAAGGGTGGGGTATAAATCCAATGTCTTCCTCTTCTTCTCTTCTACAAGGCCCAAACATAATATTTCTGCATATTGCCTTATTTCTACTGTAATCAGTCTCAAGAGACAGTTCCCAGACTTTTACTTCTTCCCAATGCTGCAAGAACCCTTCAAAAATTAGAAATTGTGACACAACCCAGTGTAGTTGTTTATTAATGAATAACCGACCAGCACAAAGCCTAAGAAATGAAACAATTTTAATAGAACCAATGCAGAAATAAACACTACAATGGACATGACATCAGATTAACTGTATAGAAGAATCTCAGTTTTGCAGAAGTAACATATCAAACACCTTCGGAACATTTTAACCTGCTACTACATCCCGTATATCTTTTTACAGCAGAGAAGGCTACATAAGAAGGTTCTATCTTCTTTTAAATTTTAGGTATGTAGTTTAAATGAAAAGGTCCAATTAGATACAAAATGCATAACTGCATCACTGTTTAAAAATTCAACATGGTGAGCCTGAACAACAGAGATAAATACCAAGATTTACCAACAATTTACATTAGTTTAGAATGATTAAAGGCTCTGCACTTTGCATGTTTCTATGGAAAAGATGGAGCATTTCTGCAATTACCATTTGCCAACACAAAACCTTCAACACTAACTCAGTTTTAGCTATTTGCCAAGCCATTTTTCTGAATCTTTTGAAGCCCATCCATTCAATAGGCCAGCAGAAATATAGTAAAACAGAGCTATCTTACATTACACGTACCAGAACATTTGTGATTATATATTCAGATTTCATAGTAGGGCAAAGTCTATTGAATATGGATAGAACATGCTGTCTGGAACCGAAAGGATAGATGCACAAAAAGAATAACATACAAGCAGAGTTTTGCTTATGATTCTCCCGTAACTATACCCACCACTAAAGAGTGAAGTAGTGTTTCAAACTGAACACAATTTTGTCATTTTAACAGTGGGAGATGCTACCACAAAGATAGCAAGCAACAGTATAGCTGTTCGTACTGTTTTCTCCTATGTATCTATGTCCCTTCTACAGATCCTAGCTCTGGACACTTTCCACATAACAGACTTAATTGTTACGTATTGTCTGGTTCACCAAACAAGATATTAAAGTTAAAAGCAAAATAGTAAGTCTCATCTGCTTTTAAGTAATTCTGAGTTGGATCCAATAAGCTTCACCCAAACCCACAAGTCCAAAAACTGATGCGCGGGGGCAGGGGAATCATCATGGATCACATTACACCTGGCATGGAAAGCCACCATATAAAAGGGGAATTAGATTAAATTGCCTGCTTCTCTCTTTCATGAGTAGAAAGCTCATGGGATCCAGCCTATTGCCAATATCACTGCCCAACAAAAATACTAAAACTCTAAATATGATTTCTAAAAGGAGAAACTTGTTTTTGTTTATGCAATAATAGAGTTTCAATGATAAATTAGTAAAACTTAGAAGTAGCAGAAATTTCCAGAGTGTGTGACTCGTTAGTAACACCCAGGCTTCCAGATTGTTCAGCAAGGCTGTTCTGCTGTCAGGACACTAGACCTCAAAAGCCAAGAGAAAAAATACACTCACAATACTGGAAAATATACTATAGCAGCCTAATTTCCCCAACAGGCCAGTGTAAATATAACTAAATAGTGTTTAAGTATTGGGAATGGACCATAGGTTCTTAACTGGAATTAGCAGCATCTTTAATTAGGGAATAGCAATAGTTACAAACGCCAAACCAAAATACAGGGGGACATGAGTCGGAAGGGAAGGGTTTCTCACATGAAACAGGAGGCAAACAAATACCTAAATCATGGCCTTAGACTGTATCTCTACTAGACCTTACTTTAGTTATACATTCTTCAAATCAAGTGATAAAAATCTATCAATTCACAATAAACAGCAATTGTGATTTACTGAAGAAACCTAAGGGACAGGGAGAAGAGAGACAATATGCTTAATTAACTGAAGAACAACCCTGAAAGTCCAGTAAAGGCTTGGTTGGTAAAACAATCAAGCCTTTACTGGACTTTCAGACACAACAGAAGCCTTCAGCAATGAACCTATTGTAAAGCATTCACATGGAATCAGCTCCTATTGATTCTGATGGAAATTACTTCAAGTAAATATTTTTGGGATTTGAGACCTGTTTTCTAGCACAGCATTATTATGTCATTTGAACATGTTCTAGGTCCTCGTGTTCAAATGATGCATGTGACACACTAAGAAGTTGACTATAAAACAGAGCTAGAGATCCATTTGTGCCCTCACAAGCCAAGGTACTGCCTGTTACTAGTGTATGTAGCAATCCCTCAGAAGTGTTTACGTAAAACAGACTTAACTTCATATGCACATATTCTTGGAAAGGAAAATATAGAAAATATGATGCAGAAGTAATTGCTAAACCAGAAAAAAATGAACTGGTGACAGCTTAGACACAGAAGTCTAACCACTCAAAAGAGCAACTTTTTAACTTGTAATGCTTACTCAACACAGCATATTACAATAGATTAGATAAATACTGGGAATGAGGACACCAACTTGGATGAAGAGCTACTGAATGCTTGGAGAAAACATACACGGGAATCAGGCTGGGCCTTATTGCTCCATGCTTTGCTTTAGCATTCCATTTCAAACCCACCCTTCACAACAACAAGCAGAACCCTACCATCTCAGCAGGGAAAAAGAGGACAATGACACAGCTCCCATTTCAGAAATGGCAACTATGGTTGGTATTTTTTTTTCTCAGAACATTCTTAATAGTTAAATGTATAGAGTCAGAAATTAAAAGGAATAAAGGTGATGAGAGTAGTAATTCTTAGGGAATCCAAATCACAATTTATAAGCAGTTCAACCAAGCTCAAGACATTAGTTGTGCCATGTTACCACACTGTAGAGTTAAAGAGAAAGATCACAGTTTGAGCTAATAAGGGTAAGAAAGGACACAGGCAGAGCCAGTACGGGTAAGAAAGGACATATCCTAATTTAAAAGAAAGGCCACAGCCTTGCACTGAGCTTTATATTCTATCTGCCATATTTAAGTCACCGTGCACAATACTGAAGCGTTAGTAACTTAAGTTTTGAAGTTGGGACCTTCCATTCAGAAGCATTTTAAGCAGCACTGAAACAAGTAAGAATTGGTTACGTGTTTATCCAGAGATATTTACAGAATAAAGAATGATGCAGTTCTTCTGAAGTATCACACTGAGTTCCAGAGTTATCATGGTGCTTCAGAACAAAAGAACACAAGCAGTTCATGGCAGAAGATGAAAGTAAAGAAATAGACACAAAGGTCTGTGAAGACATCCCCCATTTTGCTATATGTGTCCATGGAACGACTGATTACTTCTGCTGGAATCCCAGACAGCAAAAGAGCAGCAGTTAATACTGTAGTCTTTGTCTTCTTTTCACTCTGTGTAAAACAAACAAACAAACAAAAAGTTGATTTTTGCCATCGTTTCTTGTCTTTAAACAATATAGTCTAGGGCTGCCAAGTCCCCCCGGGGGGGGCAGGGAAACCCCCGCCCCAGAGGCCCGTTCCCCGCCACCGGCGGATTGGGCTCCGGGGGGAACCCCACCCCGGCGTGGGAAACTCTATGTTTCCCCCTTGGATGGTCGTAGCCCTGCCCCCAGCATGCCCGGCGTCATAACGTCACTTTCTGGTGACGTGCATGCAGTGTGCGCGCGTAAAGGACGCCAGACGGGAGTCCCCCGCTCCTGACGATTTTCGACTTGGCAACCCTAATATAGTCTGAATCCAGCAAACCATCAATGGAAGGCATTGCTGGATGAAGGTCATTCCTTTGTCTCCCTCCCTCCCTCCCAGCAATCCTTTCCAACTCTAAGTTATATTGACTCCTGGAGCCCTGGGACCCATAGCAACCAAAGCACATGAGGAGAAGGGGCAAAATTTCTGCACTAGCTGCAGCTTCCGGGTTTGCGACAGAGGCAGCCCTAAGTAGAGAGCGTTACAGTAGTCAAGCCTCGAGGTGACCGTCGCGTGGATCACAGTGGCCAGGTCTTCACAATCAAGGTAGGGGACCAACTGCCGGGCCAGCCGCAGATGATAAAAGGCCGCCTTGGCAGTGGCTGCTACCTGGGCCTCCATTGTCAACAAGGAGTCCAGGAGCACCCCCAGACTCCTAGCCTCCCGCCGAGGCACCAATGGCACCCCGTCGAAGACCGGGAGCCCCAACCCCAGACCGGTCCAACTTAGGCCCAGGACCTCCGTCTTTTCCGGGTTTAATTTCAACCGACTCAGCCTGAGCCAACCAGCCACGGCTTGTTAGATAGTAACATGCCAGTGCCTTAAGAGGTTCACATGAAAGACAAGTGATGTTCTCCATACAAAATCTGTGGGAAACAAACCTTATCATACATTGTGTGATATTTCATATAGCTACAAAAAATGCATCCTCCTGAGTTAGAATAGCCCAAATATTTCGTCCGTCTGTTTATTATTTCATTGGAAATGGGAGTTGTCTTTTAATCTTAGGTCACATAATTCTGATAAAACTGTCTGCTATGCAGTCTTTTCCTAATCAACAAGCAGTGGAGAGGAGGGGAAAAGATTATTTTGTGGATGAGCAGGCTTTTACACTCACTGAAAATTTGCATTCTAGTTATGAGAAACAAACAGCTAAAATACTGTTCAGTTACCTTATTTTCTTTCAAAGGGCCATCACACAGATGGACTCACTATAGGGACCAAAGCATGCACAACTTTTCATGCTTGTGTGATGATGATTTGCTTCTTCTAAAAACAAGGGTTCAACTTTCACCATGGCTAAATGCTTACCAGCCCTGCTGGCAAGAAGTATTTGGTTGGGCAAGAACACTTAGTATCAGGGTCCATGGTGAACCACCAGTGGCTAATGGAGATGAGACAAAGACGCTTAGGGTGAGTGAAAATGATGGGTCAGGTAAAGACTGAAAAGTAACCTGTTTGGAAAACTACTGTATTATATAACCACTGCGAACACTGGATTACCAGAGAAAATACTTAACAACATCTACTCTAATTTATATAATGTAAGAACACTTTAGTATAGGTAGACGTTTTGGGAACTGTTGGTTTTTAACCTGTCTCTTACCTTTGGGAAATACTGAGACAATCCCATATATGCAAGCTGTAAGGTAAGAAATGGAGCAAATATTGACTGGAAAAAAAACAGAAAATGATATGAGTTAGAAAACAGTAACTAGCAATTTTATTAAGTTCAAACATTCAAAGAAAGGGATTATTCATTATCAAGTGTTTCAACTGACACACTGGAAAATGTGTTGAAAGGAGCTATGTTTCAGCATACCACTGTGAAGCAGACTGTTCTTATATTTAAGGATGAACTACTACGACAACTGCTAGATAGAACACAAACATACATAATGTGGTGCTGTGCAGTGTCATACATAGGACTACTGAGATGGGGAAATTCACTATCCTTCAATAATGGATTTACAGGGACATGTCTATCCAAAAATATTCAAAAGGAGCCTTATATGAAACATTTAGTAAAAACTCCTTAATATAAAATTACTTGCATCATATAAAAACATGATTATAAAGTTTACATTCACTTTGTATAATATGAAATAGCTTTATAATAATGAAGATTATTAGAAGTTGCACTTCATATTGTTGGGAAAGGGTTTTGTGTAGTTAGTTCTCTGAGCAAGAGGCTGAGGGGTTCAAAATAATTTGGATGATCTGACTGTACTCTTTCGGCGGCTTAACATTGCCCAATTTATTCTGAAAAAATATACCTATAGGGTGGGTCTTACAGTCTATTTTTGCTGGGGGAAGTGTATTTCCACTGGCACAGAAGGGACTTTTTGTTGATTCTCCCTGTTCACTACAGACCCTCTCATCATATCTGCTGATATGATGGTGTTCCATGGTAGAGTACCAACCCCGCCCCCGGCACAGAATTTCACAGGGTGCCTACAAACAAGGGGGGGGGGGGGAGAGGAAAATTCCAAAATCCAAGCAGAGCTCTGCTCATAGATCACAGGATGTAAAGGATCTAAACCTGTATCTTGAAATATCTCCATCCTGACATAAGACAGGTACAGGGCCTACTTTGGCATACTTTGGAGCCCAGGTTCAAATGGCAAAAAGCCAAGTTTATAATAATATAATAAAATGCTGTGTTAATCAAGTAATGTAGCTTCTAATCTGTTTCAGGAAGAACTGGTAACAGCAGTGAGTATATTCCTAAGAAAATGCAATAGTTAAAAACATGAGTTGAGCAGTCTACAGTCTCACCTATGCCATCTACACACTAACCTAACCCTTAGTTGAACCACTTATTGCATTAGGACCCACTGGCAACACAGGAATCCTTATATGGCTGTTAAAACACTTCATGAAATAGTTTATGTGAAGCCTTCTGAACACTGGAAAAGTACTGTATAAAAGTATTATTATAGCCAAATGGGTCAAGATTCCTGAAAAGGGATGTTAACAGTGCTTTAGCACCATATGCATGGGTTGGGAAAGTTGCAGCTGTGTGGAATCCCTTCCCTTAACTGAATGCCAAAACAGTAGTGAGTCAATAGTTTCACTGCACTGTTTCTAGAGTATAGCTGTCTACTTATGGTTCTGTCACAGCCTGCCACTACTTGGCCAACACTGTTTATTATGTGCATATACAGCTAGCTGCTGGCCTAGACAGGCCATACTTTCTCACACTACCCTCCTCCTAAGCCACAGAACAGCTGGCCACTGAAGGAGTCTGAATGGGGATGCAACAGTTTGACTTGGCAGGTCAATGATAGGAGCCTTATTCTTTGTCTTGCCTCTGCCCATTGGCTGACCACAGACGGGAGTCCAAGAGGACTCTTGTGTTGGGCAAGTTATGCTTACTGCAAGACACATACACAGCTACAGGTCTGCTTTAGACTAGACTAGACTATTACCATTAGGAAGAATAATGGGCTGGATCCAGACTGAACTTTCCAATAGCAGAATGGAACATTTCTGCCTCACCCTTCCCACTGCAGTCCACTGATCTTCATGAAATGCTGTTTATGGGAGATAGGGGACATGGAAAAATTCCATGAAGGGGGCCTGCAGCAGGAAGGCGGAATCAGTGGACATCTGAACTCTAAAGTTGTCGAGCCACTGTGGAACAGTGGTTAAAGTTCATGGATCTGGACTTGAATCTAACCTTCCACTATGATCTAATAATTACAGTTATGAGTTCACTGAGTGGCACTGGGGAAATAATCATTTCTCCATATCAGTTTCCCATCTGTGAAATGGAAAAGCCAATGTGCTACCCTATCAAGAACAAGTACGAAAATCAAGCTAAAAATAAGTAGTGACAATCAAATAAGAGTCCTCAGCTCACCAAGTATTTGCACACAAAAGCTCTAACTCCAATAGCAAGAAGGGCACATCCAACTAATCTAAAAATACGGAAAGAATCAAATTCCTCTGCAGCATTTCCATTTTCCTGGCTTGGCTTCTCACTCATCAGCTGGTTTCTTAATTTCATAGCTTCATCAAATCTTGATAAATACTGGTCTAGGCCATGCTGAGGTGTTCGCTGTTCCATCAGATCACCTCTACTGCGCTGCCGGAGCTCAGTGGTGCCATCACTACCAACCTCAGGCGCTATATTAAACAAGTCCTTTTTCTCTCCCTTGTGCTCTACTGCACTGCTTCCATGGTCAGCTGTTCCTGCCAGACTGCAGACAGTATCACCAAGCACAACACGCTTGGAAACAGAAGGAACAGGAATGGTGGATTTATCTTGTTCCAGTTGAAGCTTTGTTTCTGAATGGGTGTCATCATCTAAAGACAAAAAAGAAAACAATGTAATGCACACAAATGGAGTTTGCTTCCCAAGCTCTATGATCCCCAAGCCACTAAGCTGGGGATCTAAGCATCGTAAGGAAAATGGGGGCCACATAGGAAGAGTATACATTAGCACACTAAGCCTCCCCCAGGAACCCTAATGGCCTTCAGAAAAGGTAATAAGCAATGTGGTGATAGCAGCGACTCTCCTGGCTGGCTGCCCCACGACTTTGCCATTGTACCACCACCAATCCTGGTGACTCTTCTGGCCACCCAGCAGCGGCGACTATCTTGGCAGCTCAGCCCACACCTTTGCTGGCTCAGTGGTATCTTCCTCATTTGTAAGTGCCCCCCCATCTATTTCCCTCCTTTCCTTCATCCACCTACACTTGCAAAGTGAACTGTTCTCTGGTTTGGGTATTTTTATAACCCCCTCCTCCCCCCTCCTCCAGATTTTTTTTGCAAATCTGGGTCACCCAACTTTGCAGAACCATCTTTTTCTCTGTGGCCCCAATCCACATATTTAGAGATCCATAGATGAGGGCCACACTTCACTATCATAATAAAATGTTATTATAGGACAAGGCAGATTACACAGAGTAAATCAATAGAATCAACAGAGTTGATACAATGCAATAGGACAAGGTCCCCAACATGGTGCCTGTGGGTGCTACGGTGCTGATGACACCTTTCCTGGTCCTGCCTAGTATATTTATAAAAGTGGGTAGGGCCATGTGGTGCTTCTGACTGGCCATTTGATTGGCTGTGCAGATTTTCAAAAATGTTGCTTTGGCAGCAGCTGCCACCATAGCAGAAGGATCTTCACTATCTGACTGAAGATAAGCTGTGGCAGCCATTTTGTGGTTGGCTCCACCTCCTGCAGCGGCCATTTTGTGGCAGTCATTTTGCAGCTGCACCCGCCATGCTGTCAGAATTCCAAAGGTGCTTGCAGGCTCAAAAAGGTTGGGAACTCCTGCAATAGAATATGACTTGTAGAGATCTAGAAACCAACTAGACGTGAAGCACAGAGGTGAAGTATTAATATGACACATTAAACAAAAGCAATAATTATATAGTAGGACCCTACTTACAGCAACAGTACAAACTACCGTTTGTATATATAGCCTACAGTCCACTAATCCTTTACACCTAGCTACTTGTTCACATTTTATTTAATTTTCTTCCTGCATACTTTACATTAGCTGCCTTTTAAAAACTGTAAGAGTGACGAAACAGGTTTTTGTAAGAAGTAACTCATACTATTATGTTGTTTTGAAGTAAAGATTTCACATTCAGTTGCCTTATGTTATGATGGGAAAGGAGGGAACTCACCTTAGCAACAAAAACAGCCTGCACTGGACTACAACAATTTAGGATTTCTTTCCATATGAAGAATAGACTGTATTATAATAAAGCCAATGGTAGAAGTCACCTTATTTGTCAGGTTTTTAATTATTTACACTATAAATGTGTAATTCACATTTAATGACGATAACAATGAGCCAAATAATGTGGACAATTTGTCATCTGTTTAAAAAATGAACACGTAGTTCTGTCTCTGGTCAAAAAGATGAAAAGAAATGGTCACCTGCAACCCGAGTTTCATCATACCAACTGCAACAACACAGATCCTACCTACCCTACCTGCAGGAATCGCAAAGACTACTGAAAAGCTGATGCTCACCTTGGCCTCTATGCCCTATTGTTGGCCATCCAAAGTAACTGTGTGAGACAGAATGCTGGACTAGATTGACCATTGGTCTAATCCAAAAGGGCTGTAACTGTTTAAGTTGGGCTTTTTCCTGACCTGGTTTCATTATGTAAATGTTTCAATATGGTAATTTTCTGGCCAGCTTTTTTTCCTGGGGTAAACCATTTTGGGCAATGATGGAAGGAAATATAAAAGACACTGAATAAATACAGAAACCTTATCTATCATTGTTAGAAATCATAGTTTCATTTTTTAAAAAGAAGTTCATCTCAGTGGTTTGGATTCTATGGACATTCCATCAAGGAGAGCAGGGGTGAGATTAACCAACTCCCCTCCTCACTGCAGCTCCCCCCCAGCAAGTTTCTGTGGCTTTTCATCTGCTAGGGTCCCCACTCTTCAGTAATATCTTTGGGGGGAGTCAGAGTGAGCTTCTGACAGGTCAAATGCTCAATCCTAACAAAGAGTAGCAGGATCAGCATAGCATGAACAAATATTTTGCAGCAGAAAATCAGTATGGGCATGAAAAATCTCTGCTCGTTACAAAATACTCATAGAAAAATCTTTGTTAAAGGATTTTTTAGGTGTTTCATGGGGTGTTAATATCACTGGGAAAGACAACATTTGGAAGCATACGTCTTCCTTTGCAGCATTTTTCAAACCTCTCTTAAAACAAAGGCATATCCAGCAAAAGCTACAAGGAAGGTAATAATTATATACCTGCTTTTAGCTTGAGCAAAGACACAGCTGTGTACACAGTAATCATCTACTGCCAGCCTACATACAGATTTCATACTATGACCTCCATGGGAAGTACTTTCATGAGAGAATTTTGCAATGAGCAAATTGTTTTTTAGTGAATTGTTTTAGGGAAAGGAGAAAGACAAACATAAATGTCAAAAACCATGATGGGCACAGTCCTCAATAAAGTAAAAAATGGAAAACAGAAGTGCATCCATGTCACAGACTGAAGTTGAATATGAGAGCAAGGTTCTAAACTTCTACATGCTGTAAATTCCAGCCATTTCAGCAAGGCTCCAGTGCCTAGGAGCACCTTACAGACTAATAGATTTATTGACATATAAGCTTTGTATGGGCTAGAGTCCAGTGTTCTAGTCCACACAATGCTTTTGCTTCAATAAATCTTCAATAAAATAAAAAGGAGTCTTATGCCAAAAAATGCAACAGGTCTGTAGGCTAGCGCTCACTTCAGCTCAATCCCACAAAACCCTATGCTTCAATAAATCAATTTTTGAGATAACATAAGACACCTTTTAAGTTCTGCTACATACACTTGATCTTAGCCAAAAAGCTTTTGCTAGAACAGACCCTATCACTGCTATTCCCTCCCCCTGAATTTCCTTCAGTGTCTATACTTACTGGGAGTCAATAGGCCAAGATATATAGTTTTATTTCAAATGTATTCTCTACCATAGACCAAGAACCACAGCAATGCACAATATCTTAAGATCGCCAGCTTTTTTTTGGGGGGGGGGACAGCTCTGACTTCTGACAGGGACATGTCATGGGCAAATAATTTTTTAACTCAGTTTCTTTTTTAAAAATTGCCACCTATTTCACAGAATTGTTGCAATGAGCAAAGTACTTGTTATAAATTACGCTGCATTAAAACTATCTTAATGGTAAATAATAATAGCATACAGCATACTAGTGGGTAAAGTACTGGGCTAGAGACACAAGTTCAAAACCCTACCCGCACGTGAAGGTGGCTTAAAAAAAATAAAACACCTCAAAATATTAAGCACACTATATATCAAAATATCAATATTAGCAGTCTAATTGCCAGACCTAATCTATCACAAGGGTTTGGTATACACACAGAATCGAAAAAGTTAGTTCTATGGAGGAAATGTAGATTAAAATGTAATATGAGTGAATAGGGTCAATTAAAAAAAAATCAAAAAAGCCCTGCAATTTTAGGAAATCCTAGGTGCCAGAATTTAAAGTTAACAGAACTCCAGTTAAGACAAGATACACTCCAGCTGGGACTAGATATTCCAAACTAAACTCTGCAACATTTACAGTAGTTTTCAATCAGTCTTTTCAGACTTGAATCCACATCTAACCCAAACCTTCAATATGAACCAATCTTACTTTTTTAAACCCTATTTATCTTTTTTATTTATTTATTTTTAGATTTACATCCCGCCCTCCCCAAAGGCTCAGGGCGGCTAACAACGAGGCATAAATGCCAAAGTTAAAACAATAAAAACAGAATAAAACAATACATTACTATACACTAAAATGTCGGTGCTCTAAAGGTCACATAAATCATAAATTACAAGATGGGGTTCTGGAGTTATTATTACCAGACCAACAACATACATCCGAACACCACTGTCATCCCATCTTCATCCAGGAACGTCTCACACCCTGATGATTCCCATACAATGGTGGTAAAAAGGTAAAGGTTCCCTTGCTCGAAAGCCAGTCGAATCCGACTCTAGGGTTGCGGTGCTCATCTCCATTTCAAAGCCGAAGAGCCAGCGCTGTCCGAAGACGTTTCCGTGGTCATGTGGCCGGCATGACTAAACACCAAGGTGCACGGAACGCTGTTACCTTCCCACCGAAGTGGTACCTATTTATCTACTTGCAATTTCTTGCTTTCGAACTGCTAGGTTGGCAGGAGCTGGAACTAGAGATGGGAGCTCACTCCATCATGCGGCACCCGGGTCTCGAACTGCTGAACTACTGACCTTCCACAGCCTGCAGTTCAGCGTCTTAACCACTTGGTAGAGGGGCGGAAATAGAAGATGATGGTGATGGAATAGTGGTGGTGGCAGCTCCTACTCAAAAGCCTGGCGGAAGAGCTCCGTCTTACAGGCCCTGTGGAACTGCGCAAGGTCCCGCAGGGCCCGGATCTCCTCTGGGAGCATATTCCACCAGGTAGGAGCCGCCACCGAAAACACCCTGGCCCTGGTAACAGCAAATTTAGTATTCCTTGGGCCTGGAATTACCAGGAGATTTTGACTCCCCGACCATAGTGCCCTTGGGGGAACATGCAGGGAAAGGCATTCCTTTAGGTAAGCCAGACCCTGGCCACATAGGGCTTTAAAGGTAAGAACCAGCACTTTGAAGCGGATCCGGTACGCCATTGGCAGCCAGTGCAGCGCTTTCAGCACAGGCCAGATGTGATCCCGTCTGGAGAGACCCATCAACAGCCTGGCTGCAGCATTCTGCACTAGCTGCAGCTTCCAAATTTGCAACAAAGGCAGCCCCATGTAGAGAGCGTTACAGTAGTCTAGCCTTGAGGTGACTGTCGCATGGATTACTGTGGCCAGGTCATCACGGTCCAGGAAAGGGACCAACGGCCGTGCTAGCCGAAGATGGTAAAAGGCCGACTTGGCAGTGGCTGCCACCTGGGCCTCCATCGTTAAAGAGGAGTCCAGGAGCACACCCAAACTCCTAACCTCCAACGCTGGCACCAAAGGCACCCCATCGAAGGTCGGGAGGGGGAGCCCCAGCCCTGAACCGATCCGACTCAGACCCAGGACCTCCATCTTTGCCGGGTTTAATTTCAACTGGCTCAGTCTGAGCCAACCAGCCACAGCCTGTAACACCCGATGAAGGTAATCTGGGGCAGAGTTTGACTGGCCGCCAGCATCAGATAGAGCTGGGTGTCATCTGCATATTGATGACACCCAAGCCCTCAACTCCAGGCAATCTGGATAAGGGGGTGCATATAGATGTTAAACAACATCGGGGACAGCACCGCTCCCTGAGGCACCCCGCACTCAAGAGGCTGCCTCCAGGACTGCTGATCCCCTATCGCCACCCTTTGCCCCCGACCTTGGAGAAAAGAGACAAACCATTGAAGGGCAAGCCCCTGAATCCCGTCGGCGAGGCGGTGAGCCAGCAGCTGATGGTCGACCGTGTCAAACATGGCTGACAGATCTAACAACAACAGCGCTGCCACACCACCTTGATCCAGATGCCTACGGAGGTCATCAGTCAGAGCGACCAGCACCGTCTCTGTCCCATGATCCGGGCGAAAGCTGGACTGGAAGGGATCGAGGACAGAAGCATCATCCAGAAAGCCCAGTAGTTGTAACGCCACCGCCCTCTCAATAAGTTTGCCCAAATAGGGCAAATTGGACACCGGCCGATAGTTGGCCAATTAGGCCGGGTCCAGAGATGGTTTTTTCAATAGGGGTCGGACCATCGCTTCCTTGAGTGCCCCGGGGAACCGCCCCTCCGAGAGGGACGTTGACAATCTCCCGCAGGGCACCTCGGAACCCCTCGCGGCCCGCTTTAATGAGCCAGGAGGGGCACGGATCAAGGTCGCATGTGTTTGGGTGCACAGATAAGAGCTATCTGTCAACTTCCTCCAGACTGAGAAGGCTAAAACGGCACCAAAGGCGTGCAAGGGGCCTCAAGTTCGCTCACTGTATCAATTGTGGCGGGGAGATCTTCTTCCATGGTGGTTCATTTGCTCTTTCTATCTGCACCTCTCCCCACCTTCACCCTGCTTTTAAAAATATTTTAAATAAAAGGAGAGTGAAGAGAAAATGGTGTTAGCAAGAACATCTGTGATGCAACCCACTTGAAACTGGGTAACAGCCTAGTTGTGGATTAGAAGACACCAATTCATAATTACTTGGGCACTATCCAGATAAAATCTGTAGTAAAGTTGGCGTGACAAAAACTCATTTTCCAATGTTTACAAAACCCTCGAACAAAAAGGAGGCACTAAATCAAGCAGCCTTGGGAATATAATCTCTATATAAGGTATATAATGAAATATGTTGACTCTATATAAGGTATCTCTTTATTGCTATATGGACTGGAAAGAGCGAATGGAAGAACAAGGTAGATCTGAACCACAACCCCTGGAAACCTTTAAATCAAGCATCTCATCCCGTCACCCTTACGCATCTTTTAAAAAGAAAGGCAGAGAGGAAGAGCATCTAAACGATGGTATCTAAACAAACTCTACAAATTTGGGTTTGATTTTAAGAAAAAGCGTTAGTTAATTCGGCGGGGACAACCGTTCATGTGGACAGCTGACCCGATTCCTGCCTTTGGCCAGGAACGAGAGGTGGAGAAGAAAGAGGCAAACACGCATGCTGGATTTCCCCCCCGCCCAAGAGATGAAACGAGGGGTTATGTTCTTCAGGTAAGTAAACTCCTAGTTTTCCGTTCCCTTCGCAAAGCGAGGACTTCCCATCCCGGTTAGAAAGTATCGTCGCCGCCACGCCCCATTCCTCACCCGCCTTCGGCCGGTGGAAACCCATTATCCGGCTGATCCGCTCCTCGGAGTTCATCAGCAGCTTCCTTCGGCGAATCTCTGCCCGGCGCTGAGAGGCCGTAAGCCCAGGAGTGGTCGAAGCAGAGCTGGCAATGGCGCCGGGCCCCTCACGGGTGGTGCTGCCGCCATCTCCCAGCTACTCAGGCTCCATCCCTACCCGAAAGCAGCACACCCTCCCTCAGCCTTCCTCCCAACTCCCTGGTCTCCGCAAGCACACAATGGAGCCAGCCAGGCCCCACTAACTGCCTGTAGCTAAGGCGCAAGCGCTTCTGCCGGCCATTTTAGGTCCCGCCTGCAGCTGTTGAAGCGAAAGGCGCCATTTTGGATGAGGCTTTGCTCTGGGCTTACTGCAATACCGATACCGACCGTGACTGGGCTAGCGAGACTCCATAGAGCGCCGCCTAGTACCGGTATACCCTTAAATAAAGATGGCAAAAACGACTTCGCAGGAAAAGTGGGCGTGCGAGGTAGGGTGGAAGGGAACGCCTACAGATCCGCGCGAGTAGGTAATGACCTCATAAGCCTTCGGGTGGTCTCATAATGCTTCCCTTGACATAAATGCGTATAGGTGTCTGTCTGGCCCTAGAGTAAGTCAGTAGGACAGCAACGCGGGTGGCTGGGACTGGGAGTGAGGAGGCGGTAGCGTTTCTTGTCAAGTTGAGCCTTAACTCCAAAACTGAATTAAGGGAAAAGGCTGGGAAGTGGAACTAGCTGAACCACTGAGAAAACAGCCTGCAATCTCGCTTGCATTTATACAGTTTTGTTTAATATAATGATATCTACTAGTAAGCATGCCTGCTTCGGGATGCCCATTGAGTGGCCTCTTGAAAATTTATGAATAAATAGCCTTCCACCCAATGTTCCCTCTAAGCTGTGCAGTCTTGTGAGCAAAAACTCTACTTTGTGAGCTACTGGCATTAAAGTTGTGAGTGAGCGATTTGGCTATTGCACAAATTAGTTTGCTCTGGAGCCATCCCTTCCTGGGCTAAGGCAAAAATCTGTGAGACGGAGGCTAAAGAACTATGAGCAAGCTCACACTAACTCAGCTTAGAGGGAACACTGCTCCCACCCCATATCTGTATGGGGGGGAGGCCTTCTGCCAACTTGAAGCCAAATGCAGGCCCTGTTCACACAGAGGATTTGCTGCATGGCGGATTATCCGGACGCGCAACATCTGGGAAGTGGAGTGCGCCCTTGGCATACCGCCAAAAATGCGCGATTAAAAACTACCAGCTCGAAGGTACTAGCAACCGGTTTGCCACGGGCTGCCTCTGGAGTCCCTCGGTGTGATCGCGTCGGCCGTGGCTTTTTCCTCCGCCCCCCCCCCCCCCAAAAAAAAAGCGCCCCCCCCCCCCGTTTATGCGCAGGTACAGAGGGAAGGAACCATGGCGTGCCACTGACGCGTGGGATCGCGTTATGGCGGCTCTAATTGCGACAGTGCAAAAAGCCCCGCCTCCCCCCCCACACACACGTTATCTGGCCCTTGTGACTGGGGCCACAGACTTCAGCGTTTTCTTTCATCTCTTTTTCATATACGTTAAAAAGAGCCCTTTGGATTATTCCCAGATATTTGCATAGCCTCTCTTCAATGTAATAATTGAAAGAAAAATGGGTCATTATTCGCCTTTCTGTATAAAAGACCCAGGGTTTTGACCTTATATATATTTGTATCTATATGCACCTGCACACACACACACACATTTTTGAGTTCACCTATGGCTATGGATTGTCTGTTTGACAAACCCCTTACTATTCTTTGAACACATGACATGGCTAAGCCAAAGTACTGGTCCATCTTGCTTAGTATTGTGTACCTTGACTGGTGGTGGCTTTCAGACAGAGAAAGGGCTTTCCCTCTAATACCTGGTATCTTTTTAGTTGGGGTTGCCAGAGATTGACCCCGATCACTCATACATAGCATCTTCTCTATCACAGAGGTCTAATATTTGTAGATCTCTCATCCACATCCAGCTTCTCAAATACTGAACTGCTTGGTGGCTACATTATATGAGATGAGCTTTAAGCATGTAAGCACCCAGCTGGTTGGGTATCCCATGGTGTTGTGGATGTCTTTTTTTAAAATGGAAAGTTGCTGCTGTGGATAATAGTAAGCAAGGCAGGAATGACTATTCTCTGCTTTAGAAAAAGGAAGCATCTTTGTTCTCAGTTGCTTCATAGGAGGATATATGATACTTTGTTCAGGATAACAAAGCTTGAGTCCAGTGGCACCTTTAAGACCAACAATTGACCTTGAATAAAACTTTGTTGGTCTTAAAGGTGCCGCTGGATTCAAACTTGTTTGCTGCTTCAGACCAACACGGTTACTCATCTGAATCTTTGTTAAGGATAATAACAGGAAGATTACTATCACTTTCATCTTGACACAAGAGACACTCAAACATAGTCTCAACAGGTTTCAACTTCTGAACTGACATGCCAAGTGGACTATAGATTGTGATATGTTCTGGGATAATCATAAGAAGCAGCTTATCACAGTGTACTGATCTTTCTGCCAATATTTTAGGAACATGACAAACCACTACAAACTTGGCAGAAACTTGTTAAACAATGTACATTTAAAATATCATAATTACCGTGCAATCCTAAAAGCATCAGTGTTATAATTAACCTGTGCTATGCTATTGTGTCAAACGACCTCTGATCATCTCTTGCCTTAAAAACCCTATGGGGTTGCCTTAAGTCAGCTGTAACTCAATGGCATTTTCCTCCACCACGCCATTTTGTGGTGACTATAGGTTTGAAAATACACAAGAGTACCAGATACGATTTGATCCATAACTTGGCAAAGCATTAGTCTTCTCTAGGCTCAAGATAACAGCAGGAGATCTGTCCATTTTTAAAAAACATCTGCATTAGGTTTCTCCGAAGATTCACAATCCCCAATCCCCACTGCCTACAAATAGCTAGCAACCTCCCTTTACAGGAACACTAACTGCAGGAGACATTGACATCATTTACTGGCAGTGTATCACATGGATGCAAAACTAATGGGTGAACCAATTTTCTTGGGCCACCAAGGGAGAAGCTGTTAATGTTCCAGTAAGAACTGAGCGTCTGCCTTAAAGTCCTAGCCTGTTACAGAGGAATATGCCAGCCTCAGCCCTGTTTTTCCCTAAATCTCTTTAGTGCTTCCTGTACTGTGAGTCCGAAATATACTTCCCTGTTTCTCCATTAAAAAGTGGTGTTAAAGGTTTTACTGGAAGCTGATATAAAGCTGTATCATAATTTGTGAGACCATGACAATGCCTTCCAAATCCAGAAGTCACAAAATGATACTTCATAATGAGCTTGTATGCTGTGCACCAATAGTGAGAGGGGAGGTAGTCAATACTGGTTGAAATGGGATGTCGCAATTATGTTTAGATTTCTTGCACAATTAGTAGTTTTCTTATCTTAAGGACATATTTGTCTTTATTGCTGCCTATTCCGTCACCCCCAATCCTTTTTTCTCTGCCTAATTCCCATCTTTTCCACATTGCCACAGTGCTGTTTCTACATGAGAGTCATTCCAGCTACTTGCTTTCATAACTACTCAATAAAGAATGCTGTGACAGGCTGCTGTGCTCCTATAAGCTTGTGAAGATCAGTGGTTCTCAACAGGGATCCTCAGGTGAATAATGAGTCCTTATAGAGGTTTATTTTATTTAGGACCTGCTGCATTCACAGAAAGCAAGGCTCCACACTCCCTGCCTGTTTGTATGCCTTTTGAGCAAAAGGACAGGAGGGCAAGGTCACTCGGTGATACAGGGAAGTTCTGAAACACTGGGCTGGAGATTCATATGGCTTCCTTAAAAATTCTCATATTGTAATATTTCTTTTGACTCATGTCAGTTATAGAGTTGTGTGCTGAAAGTGGTACAGCATAGAATTGGGAAGTCTGTACTAGAGTAACAAAGGGTATGGGGTAAATGCATAGGTGCCTATACTGGTTTATAGCCCATAAAAACCATGTCATACCATTTATTAAGACTAACCAAAATGACAGTTCGGTTTGCAAGTGTTCAAAGTTCTTCCAGTGAAGAGTTAGGTAGAACTCAAAAGTTGGCATATTGTTGGTCTTAAAGGGCTAATGATTTTTTTTTTTTAAAGTTTGAAAAGGAGACTTCATGGACAATCCATTTCTACACTAAAAATGAATGCAAGAACCCAGTGCTTAGACACTGAACATGAATTTATAGAGCTTTTACTGGTCATTATACTACCCCCATCGGCACTAGAGGAATTGGGTACAATTATGAAATTATGAAAGGAGCTGCGGTGGCTCAAGTGGTTAAGATGCTGAACTGCAGGCTGTGGAAGGTCAGTAGTTCAGCAGTTCAAGACCCGGGTGCCGCAAGACGGGGTGAGCTCCTGTCTCTAGTTCCAGCTCCTGCCAACCTAGCAGCTCGAAAGCAAGAAATTGCAAGTAGATAAATAGGTACCACTTTGGTGGGAAGGTAACAGCGTTCCGTGCGCCTCGGTGTTTAGTCATGCCGGCCACATGACCACGGAAACGTCTTTGGACAGCGCTGGCTCTTCGGCTTTGAAACGGAGATGAGCACCGCAACCTTAGAGTCGGATTCGACTGGCTTTCGAGCAAGGGAACCTTTACCTTTATGAAATTGGAATGCTTGGTCAAAAATGCCCTCCTACTTATTTCTGTGGGATTCTCACTCGGGCTGCAGCCCCCTTGTTGCTTTCCACCCTCTTTCTGAAGACTCCATGAACCATAGGAGCAATTTCCCAGGTGGTGGTCGTAGCAGAAGACAGGGAAGGTGAGAAAGGTATGTTGCACAAGTGGGGCTCTCAGTCTTTCGAATCCAACCAATGTAGACAGCAAGTGGACTCAACTTGGTAAATTCTTTAGAAGCCTGAGGATTTTTCTTACCAGCCAGCTTGATGTTTTAATAAATGAGCTGGAAAACATTTAGTTTTTTCAGGAGAAACTAATTCAGGCTTGTCTCCCAAACTATACACAATTTGTACAGTATAAAGGTCAGACAGTTTTTGAAGTTACTGAAGAGCCTCAAGACTATTTTACTGTGAAAAACGGGCCAGGTATTCTCTGTGGCTTCCAACTACTGTTTATAAAGGAAAGATGAAGTTGTGAGCTCTTTCAATTAATTTTATTGAATAGCCAAATTTGATAAATTAGCACAGCTAAAATAAGCATTTGCATGTGTTACAAATGACTTTTTACAGGAATAAAACAGTGAAAATTACAAACTGTAAA